TCATGCAGCGGCGCCGCGCGTTCATGAAGAAGTTGCTGACGGTGTTGAGCTCCAGGCCGAGCTGCTGCGAGATGGTGACCTGCATCTCCTTGGACGGCCGCTTGTTCTCCTTGAAGATGGCGATGAGCGTGCGCCGCTGCAGGTCGGTGAACACCAGGCGCTGCTTCTTGGGCTGAAGCGCGCGCTCCTTCTGCTGCTCCTGCTCCTTGCGCTTGCACGCTGCGGGCCGCCCGGCGCGCGGGAAGGGAGACAAAGCGGGGACACGGCGTGAGCGCGGCTCCACGGGCCCGGCTCGCCCTCCTCGCCGCCCCCGGGGCCCCGACCCCGCGCTGCCGCGTCTCGCGGCCGCCGGGACGCGGCGGGACATTACGTGCGAGCTCTGTGGCTCAGTTAGACGGCGTGGGAGAAGCCGTGAATTACCAGGTCCCTGCGGTGTGTCCCCGACCCCGGTAACCAGCCCCCCACACACCCCAATGACGGGAGTACCAGCCTGTGCCCCCTTTCCCGGGCTGTCGGTCAGGCCTGCCCAGCTTAGGGACCCTGTGTCGTGAGGCTGACATGACGTAGCCCGGACTCGGGGACCCGGGCCTCCCACCCGCACCTCCACCCCAGGAGGCTGAGGCCCAGACCTGGCCTCCCTCAAGTGCCCAAGGGATCCTCTGGAGCTGGGAGGATCTAAGGAAGAGTGGGGGGATGCAGCACCGACCCCCCCCCACCCTCTGCTGGGAGCAGAGAGAAGGCTGCAGGAGGCCGCCCCATCGCGCCCCACCCCCACCCCGGCTGGTGGATGCTTGCAAAGGGGAGTGGGCAGCACCTCAGGGCAGCTGAGCAGCACCCCAGGCTGCTCCGCGGGCCCCAGCTCCAAAGTGGACCCCTCTCCTCAATGCGGTGGAGCCAGGGGGTGGAAAAGATGAACTTCACCAGCCTGCACTGGCTCCCTCCCTCCAGGGGCTCTATCAGAGTCTCAGTTTCTCCACCAGGTATTAGTCAGGGGCTGCAGGAGGTGAAGAGCCTGCCTCCCCACCAACTCCTCACCCCAGCTAGTCTGTCACCACCCTCTGCTGTACTAGCAGAACCCTGCACCCAACCTGGTGACCCACTGAGACCACACACCAAACTGGCTTTGTTTGGGTTCCAGAAGAGTCTGAACCAGATGGCATGCCAGATCAATGTCCACACACATCTGTAAAAATAGATTACTGTTCCCTGTGCTGTGGCTCATTTCTCAGTGACAACGGGTTCTCCCAGGAGAACTGACACCCCACTTCACTCCCTGTCTCCCCCTGACCTGAAACACACAGCACTTCCAATGGGCTCTTTCAGGTTTTATGATTAAATAAGGGTAATGTTTGGAGATTACTGGACAGTTTAGAAAAGCCTCTAAGGAGAGAGAGAGAGAGAGGAGCGAGGGGGAGAGAGGGAGGGAGAGAGAGAAAGGGGGAAGAGGGAGGAAGGGGGAGAGAAGGGAGAGGGAGAGAGAGAAGAGAGAGGGAGAATGAGAAAGGGGGGAGGGGAGGGAATAGAGAGAGAGAGGGAGAGAGAGATAGGAGACAAATGAGAAAAAACGTAGGAGGAGAGGGGGAGGACGCTCTTGGGAGAACCAAGTAACGGGCAAAGCAGGCAAAGCTATAATGAATACTCTTGGAGGGGTAAGAGAAAAGTGCTGTATCCATGAAACAAGAACAGGATGCTGTTCAATAAAAAGGACAATGAAAAGGGAAGACACTACTCTTGAATTAAATATATAATCGCTGGAATAAATCAATGTAAGGACTGGAACACAGTGTTAAGCAAGTATCCCCGGAAATAGGACAAGGCAGATGCCAAGATGGGAAATGAGAGAAAGGTGACAATAAAGTGTGGATTGGGCAAGCTGCCATCTGATTCAGAGGCAATCGAAAGCTAGAGGAAGAGATTACCAAATAAATAATGAAAAAAAAAATCCATGTTTGAAGGACACGAGAGTCCGCTTAAAAGAGTCCATGAAGTGCTCAGCTCAATGGGTGAAAAAAGATACTCCCTGAGGCTCATCCTTGTGAGATTCCTGAGACCCAGAATAAAGAGAATAAAGTAAAAGCTCCCAGAAAGGAAAGCCAGACATCTGGGAGGGACTAAGGGTCAGAGTGGCTTTGGCTTCTCAAAAACTAGGAGATGGTGAACCAATGCCTTCAAAATTCTGAGGGAAATTCTATTCAGCTAGAATTGTATACCCAGCCAAACACCAAGCAGGAGGGTGGAATAAAGACAAAGTCAGACAAGTCAAAGTCTCCAAAAGTTGACTTCTGTGCACTCTTTCTCAGAAAACTTTTGGAGGATGTGTTTCACCAAAATGAGGAGGTAAATTAAAAAAGTAAAATGTGGGATTCAGGAAGTGTGACTTTCCTACCGGAAAAGGAGAGGATCCTCCAGATGATGGAGAGGGCAGAGCCTAGAAGACCGTGGAACAGAGGCACTCAGGACATGGAGGGCAGCCCCATCCAGCACCAAGGGAAGTGGAAAGGGGACATGACCTAATATGTGTGGAAAATCCTATTGAGTTGGTTTGCATTTTGTTGGGGAGTGTGGGAAGAACTTGTGATAGGCAACTACTAACTCCTGGAAAAACAAACAGTTGTACAAGAAAGAAAAATGAAATCCTAGTACTCTATGTGGCTCAGATGTGGACAGTATTCACTGAAAGCATAATAATGTAATGCTGAATATTGATTTAAGCAAAAGACTGTATTCATAACTATACTGAGAAGCTGACAGTGGGAAAGGGTGTGGTATGGATATGGAAAGATGGTGAGGCAAAAGGAGACAGATGAACAGTGCACCAGGCAGCCTTTTGTGTACAGAAGAGGGAAGCAAAAACATAAGCTCATATTTTGTCTGCATTAAGAAACGCTGGAAAGGAGTGAGAGGACCGGTCCTGACCTCCCATCTCCTTGGAACTTGGCCACCCTGTTCAAGGGTCAAGGGTCAAGGGAGGGATGGAGTCCCCCATTCTTTCAAAGAGAAAGCTGAGTCTCCAGCATCCAGTCCAGGGTAAGAGTCAGACTCAGCCCCAGGCCTTTAAATTTCAAAAGAGGCCCTCCTTGCCCACCAGTTGTAATCTTCAATTCATTAATTGATTCACTTGTTCCTTCATTCACTTAGTTTACTCACAAATACATCACACATTTACAGTAGGGACAAAGATACAAATGATCCTCAGAAAGCTCATAAGAGGGACACCTGGCTGGCTCAGTCAGTAGAGCATGCAACTCTCCATCTCAGGATCCTGAATTCAAGACCCACACCAGGCGTAAACCTTACTTAAAAAAAAAAAAAAGAAAAGAAAACAAAGAGAGCTCACAAGAGCTTTACATGTCAAGAGGCTTACATGTCTCTTATCTTTTAATCCTTACGATAATTTCATAAGGCAGGGATTGTTCTCCTTACTTACTCTGAGAAGGTAAGCCACTTGCCCAAGGTTGCCCAGCAAGTCCCAGCATGGGCAGGACAGGAGCCACGGTGGACTGGCCCTGGCCCAGAATGGGAGGGAGGTAAGACATGGTTGCCTCTCTCCCCCTACTTCCCCCTTCTCCAATCAAGTGCCTAATGGGGGCCCCAGAGGCAGGGGCTGGGGGAGGGGCCAGGCCAAGCAGAGTCATGAAAAAACTTCGTGTTTTGTCGATCACAGCAAAAAGAGGCTCCCCTCTCCCCCCTTCCCAGTGTTCAATCTAATTACAGCTCCTCACAGCCCCAATCGATCTGGGCTCCAGTCAGAGCTGTTTACCAGGAGCAGCTTTTGTCCTGGCTTCCATCCCCCACAGCCCCCCAGAGCCCAGCCTGGAGGCTCAGAGGTGTGAGTGCCAGTCGGGAGAGGCAGCCCAAATGCCCCCCATCAGCGAACCTGTCACCATCGCCACCTTCCCCTCATCAGCATCCTGTCTGGTGCCCGAGATCACTCCCACCAGCCCACCATTGCAGTCCTTGTGTCACCTGGGCACCCCAAGAGGAGGACAGGCGGTGGGTATGAGCCCCTTTGCAGAAGTGAAAGCCCAGACTGGGAGAGAAGGGCTGACCCAGAGCCCGGCTGGCGAGAGTGCCTGGAGGAGAAGGCTGGACTTACCACAGTGCCAACCACCAGCCTCCTACTGCGACGCCACTGCTATGGCCACTTCTTCCACGAGGATCTCCACTGGGGACCGCCACTGTGGCTTCCACTCCATCATCTCCTCCACCGTCACCTCCCCCACCGCCTCCGCCACCACCTGCACCAATTCTACCATCACACCTCCACCACCATCACCTTCCCCATTGCCTCCACCGCCACCTGCACCAATTCAACCATCATCGCCTCCTCCACCATCACCTTCTCCACCGGCAACCCTTCCACCTCCATCACCTCTTCCACCTCCTCACTGCACCACCCACCACCTGCACCAATTCTACCATCACACCTCTTCACCATCGCCTCCTCCACCGTCACCTCCCCCACAGCCTCCCCCACCCTGCACCAATTTATCATCACACCTTCTTCACCATCGCCTCCTCCACCATCGCCTCCCCCACCACCTGCACCAATTCTACCATCACACCTCCTTCACCATCGCCTCTTCCACTGGCATCCCTTCCACCTCCATCGCCTCCTCCCC